GGCCAGGAGCCCCTAGTAGCGTCTTTGCTCCTAGTAGCGATGCCCTTTGTTCCTAGTAGCTTCTTGACAGTAGTAATGCACTTGTTAACAAACTGTTTCTTCGCTTTTGGTGTCCAGCGACGTCTGCGCTGTCTGATCTGTCGACAAACACATGCCGATGCGGTCAAAGAAGAGCTTGGGCTCCGACTTGCGGGCGGCGATCGCCCAACTGCCCTTTCCCTCAGTGGCTGTGAGGCCTCGCGACCAAACGAAGTGATGGGCGATCTCTCCAAAAGATCCGGTGACGATCACGAGAACTTGTGTCGGCCAAAGCGCCTCCCGTGAAGTACTTCAACATTCGCTTGGACAACTCTGACTTCGACCACGTGACCTGGCACAGTCTCGAAGAACGTTCAGCAAAGCGAGCCCGTTTCCAACTCACAGTACTCTCGCACAGCCTCCAATTCCACGAAAGCCTCCACTGCCCCTGGCACCTTGAACGGCAACAAATGGCTTTGGTATTACTGAAAGACAGTCTGATGAAATGTTTTTGACACGAAAATCTGTCTAGTTCACCGCCGCAATCTGTCCACCCGCCTCATTGTAAAGCACCGAGCTGGCCATCTGCGAAGGCAATTTGCGCTCTTTGCGCTCACTGCGCAACGCAGGCTCGGCGCGCTCGGCGTGCGGTCGGGCTGGGCGCAGCCGCGGGACCGGTCGAACAGGGTTGCAGGTGGGCGGCCTTAGCGGTCGAGGAGGAAGCAACTTGGACTTTGATAACTTAAACCTGGAAGCAATGGCCTCCAACCTAACGAAGGCCTCCAACCTATGCCCGGAGAAAATTGAGATGTACTTTATTGAGTGTTGATCCCACTCACAAGCCTTTCTAGTTTTGGTGGTTCGATCACGAGTGACCAACATGACTCTGTACTTTTAGGGTGCATCGCTAGACTCTTCACTTCAGCTTCGTCCCGAAACGCAAACCACAGACAAGCGCGCTGCAAATTCACACCGCTCAACCACCTCTCTAGTTTGGATGTGGGATTTCCGTTGCCTCCTTGAAGTGATTTAACACCCACTCTTCGAAGCCATTGAGGCATTCTTCGAAGCCATCGAGCCCATATGTAGTTCTCAGAATGACTCAGCTCAAGCTGTTAAACAACCTGGAACTGAGTCGGATTCATTAGTTGTCCTGCTTTGGCAAAGAGTGCTTAAAGATCATTAGACATGCAAATATGGCCCGGGTTTGAGTCTCTTGTTTTTGGAGTATTAGTCATTAGGATGGTCTTTCTTCAATCACACAAATCAGCTGCTTCCTTGCTTTCCGAATATATACATATATATATATGTATGTATTTATTCATCTATTGTTCATTTGTTTTCTTTTTTATATCGGCCTCTTATCACCTCCATGGCGACACACAAGACAAGTGGCTCATCTTCCTCGTCTGCATCCTCTTCTGCATCAGGGTGTGGATCGTCGACAGCATCCTGGCGACTTCGACGGGGGCAAAAAGCAGCTGGTAGCAGTCTATGCCTACATATATACAAGGCTGAAGCCTCCAACCTGTGATGAACTAGTGTCGTTTTGAACATGATTTAACACGATTCCATCAGCTTTCCCGTAACCCAATGCAACAAACCCGGTGCACCCTGGTTGGGCTCTAGTCCAACGCCCATGAGGTCATGAACCATGCAGTCTTTCCGTCTGTTGCCGTCTGTTGCCTCATCCTCTGACTCCTGAAACTCCTCCATCTCATCCTGACAAAACCCTGTTAAGCAAAACACAATCGAACGAGTGTTTTCCTATTAGGAGCAAGAACGCTACTAGGGGCTCTGGCATCGCTACCAGGAGCAAGAATGCAACTAGGGTCACTTGAACCACTTCCCAAGAATCGCTGTCGGATATGGACGGATGCGGATAGATCGTGATTCAGTGTGGGCACACAAGGGCGCAGCGCTCCTCGCTGGCAGGCCGATACCTCAAGTTCGACTCGGTGAGACTCGGATGTCCTCTTTCCGACCGGATCTCGAAACCTCTAAATGTAACGACTTGGTGGAAAACCCAAAGTCCAAAGCCTCATAAAACCTCGGATGGAACCGTGTTGCTAACACCTAAGCCAAAACAGAATGGCGCTACAAAGAAAGAACTCGCTTTGCTCCGTTTCGGGGTTTCCCGACGGCTGTGTGAGCTCCTGCCGCTTCTGCCCCAACTCTGTCAACCCAACAGGCTCAGCGCCTGAACGGAGAGCCAATCCGAATTTTCCAGACCGCGTGACGGCCGCTCGACCAGATTCGCACTATGAAGGTGCCAATTGCAAACGAAACCGTTAAACTCTGGGCAAACAGGAAACAAATCGAAACAATTTAGGCACCTGGTACCTGAAAAATGCGCTGCCACACCAGCCGAAGGTCGAACAACAGAAAAAAACACTTCGGGTGCGTCATCGTGGAAAGCTGTGATGTGCTCCTCAGTGTTTCAATTGCAACGCTTCAAAGGTGATAAAAAAGGAGGGTCAGTGATCCCACAGTTCGACTTGCACAAAAGGCCAGGAAACTCCAGCGCTGAATACAGGAGTATTATTTGGCAACCCCTCCGGAACCCCTTCTGGGGCGGTATTTGCATTGCTTTCTAACTGTTTTGAAGGGTTGGAGTTTGTTTGCTTGGTTGGATAGTACATATTTATATATACGTATATGCGAACCATTTTCTGTGCAGATCAATGTGTACATGAGTAGCGTAATAGACATCATGACCCTACTGCCACCCTTTTGCGTATCAAGGAAAAGTGCGAATGGTAGCGGAGCTGAGAAGGAGGTAACCCCTCTGGAGCTCTGAGTGAAAAGCCCCTAGGTCACTGGGTTCCCGGGTGCGATTTCGAGCCATAGATTTGAGGCCTTTGGAACCCAAACAGCTGGACTGGTGAATAGTTGTTGTAAGCACAACACTCTGTACCCAGTACATTGTGTCCAAGAGACATGAGTACAAGGAGGAGATGGAGGAGATCAGGGAAATCCTTCAAACTGTAGCACAGAGTACGCTAGCAACAACATCAGCAGCTGAGGCAGTGAAGAAAGCAGTTGAGGACAAGAAGTCATCAACCACAGATGGGTCAAAATTGATAGCAAAGCCAAATATCTTTGACTATAGGTCACAAGACAAAGAGATCAAGGCATTCAGAGAGTCGTCATGGGTGTTTGAAAAATACCTGAGCGCAGTAGATGAGGGCTACATGAAGGACTTGAAGCCAAACAACAAATTTGACATGGACTTGGCAACTGAGGCAGAAAAGGCCAGGTGCATCAAGCTCTATGGTGCTAGCTTCATTGATGAGAGGAAGGGCACTGCAATTGGTGAAAGCTGTGGAAGACTCCAATGGATTTGACGCCTGGCGGAGTTTTAATAAAGCTTCGAAACCAACTTCAAAGGCAAGAGACTTGGCGCTCTTGGGAGCAGCCACTACATTGCCAGCATTTTCAATGAACAGTGCACTACAACCTCAACTATTGAAGCTTGAAGAAGTATTTGATGAGACAGTCAAGTCAGGGACTACAATTCAGAAAGAACTGAAATGTGCTATTCTTTTGAGATGCGTAGGTGGACAACTCAAATCATAGTTGAATTTGACAATTGGCGACAATGTTCAATACTCCAAGTTGAGGGAACACGTGTTGCAATGGGATAGATAGATCTCAGCAGAAGTGGGCTACTTCCATGGTGGCAAATAGCAGTATAGACTATCAAGGGCCTACGCCAGTGGAGGTTGATCGAGTCCAGGACGCCAAAGGAAAAGGTAAGAAGGGCAAGAATGCATCAGAAAGGTAAGGATGCCAAAGGGCAAAGGAAAGAAAGGAAAAGCAGATCAGAAAGGAAAGGAAGGTGATTACAAGGGCAAAGCTAAAGGCAAAGACCAGAAAGGCAAAGGCGTGGCAACATGTTGCACTTGTGGAAAGCCAGGACATCCTGCTAAAGACTGTTGGAGGAACAACATTCCACAGGTAGCAAGTGATCAAGCCCATTCATCTTCATCAGGAGGATTGAGAACAGGGAGCCGATCATCCTTGACTTGAGACAAGGAGATGATGAACTAGAAAATCACAGAATTCGAACTATTCACTTCTACGTTGGAGATGATGATGATGATGATGATGATGATAAGGGCCACTAGCTCTCAGGCCCTATTCCTTCAATAGGAGAGGACCCCCTCCCATGATCATCCGGGAGAACCTTGCCACCTCGGTCTTGGAGATCTCCCTCAACCGGAACTTCATCAGGCTTCTTCAAGGAACTCCTCACGAGCATTCTTTCGTGACTGTTCCAGATGTTGGCATGGTCATCCTGGCTGTGATTCTCTTCCTTTCGGTTCTTAACCTGTTTCTCCTCCAGAACTTTGAGAACTACCAGGAATCCCCCTCCTTGAGAAAACAACGATTCAGGCCAACGAGAACAGCCTCACAGGTCCTTGCACCAATTGCACGAGCTAGCTGGGGCCCCAAGTCCCCAGCCAGGGCAGGACTACCACGTGACGTGGACTACGTGATCAAGCTCAATCCACTAGCCCTGCCCTGGAGGCCCGAGGGTTCCTCGGTGAAGCCTCCCTCAATCTCGCCAGTCCGACATTTACAATGGCGAAGCCAAGTGGCCTTGGATCCCAATCCACACGTCTGGACTTTAGCGAGCTCTACCCCAAGGTCACCACAGGCCCAACATCTGGGCAAGATGAATGGGGAACTTTGATCAAGGTCAAAACACACCCTTTGAGCTCACTGCTGAACCTTGCGGCAGCCTGCTACCTGGACTCAGTGGTTACGGGCCTTTGGTGTGCAAGAGAGGCTGATGACCTGAGTGAGGACCATTGGACCACCTTTTTTGGGACCTTTGCGACCAATGCAGGTGTTTCACATGGGGGTGGACCACCTTTTTGTCAACCTGGAGGGAACCCTCTCGTCAACATGATGTTCAAGATTTAGTCCACCATCATCTTCAACAGCTGAATCCCAATCTCCACCGTTGTTGTTGGGAATCTAGCCAGATGGGGATATCCGAGTGGTGGATCAGAGTGCCCTTCGATGCCCCCTGCACATCTTTTGCTGCAGTGAGCAAAAGAATGCCATGCTGTCCATTGATTTGCAAGGTCATCTTTACACTTGGTGCCTGGCATCTCTTGGTCTACCCGACCTTTCAGAGCTGGACGATCTTACATGTCTTCATGCTTCGACTCGAGGGGGTGGAAATGCAGGGCTCGACTCTCGTGGGTTTCTAAGGTGTGGCTCCCCTTCTTCCTGGATACCAAGCTGGGCATCGACCACATTCCCTTTGAGGTCACTGTGGTCTCACGTTCCAGCAATGAACCATCCTGTCGCCACTACTGCACTGAAGTGCTTGAGGGCGATGAACGGTGGATCTTCGACGACGGGAACCCGCCAGTGAAGCGTTTGTGGTATCTGAGAACTACATGTCTCCAAGGGGGGGCTGATCCTGTCTCCCACCTGGCCGAGGAATCTACCCATCCAGTCAGACGAGGAGAAGGTCAACTACATTATCCAAAACACTACCAACTTTGATGAATGGAACCACACATGGCTCAAGGCCTTGGACTCCTTGGATGCCGGCATCCTGGTGGTCATTCAACACCCGGTCACCGACTTGTTAAGGAAAGCATCCTGTGCAGGTGTCAGCCTTGAGACTCAACAACTACCTGGAAGTGTCCCACTGAGCTCTTTGGGTTGCACTCCCGGGCCGGAAGTGCTTGGTTGAATTCCTCCCGAGGAACTTGATGGGCTGGTGTGGGTGCCTACCTTCCGGGCACCGACCTCACTGAGGACCATTCGTGTCCATGCCTCCGCCAATTTGGCTTTTATATTTGGCCTTAGGTCAATCGAGCGTCTGAGGTCTTGAGGATCTCGGTTGCAGCTGGCCATCTTCAGCTGAAAGTTGAAGCAGCTGGCAGGCTCTTCGGAGCCCAGACGGATCACCTGGATCCACGCCTTCATCACCGATGAGCGTATGGAAAGAAAAGATGATGATGATGATGATGATGATGATGAGCCTAAGGGCCATGAGTGCCTAGTCACGCCCGATGACTAGGGCTGGTGCGGGCCCCCACTTTCGAACATGGTCATCCTCCTGAAGGTGTCCGCCTCGATCCGCGACCTCCTGAAGGACTAGTCCTTTGAAGTGGCCTCCGGCTACCAGAACCTGGACCTGGACTTTTTCCGTGTCGAGACCTTTGTGACTGGATTGGCCTTCTCGATCCTCCTCGGTTTTTTGACCTACCTGTTCTGTTCTAATACCAGGTCTCATAGTTCTTTGTGGTTGAGCTGGCCCTCCCACGGTCTCTGCTGCGGACTGAACACTCACCAGGGTCCCAAGTCCCCGGCCAGGGCGCGAACTTGCAGGATCCATTCTCAAGCTTCTGATGACCAAGACCATCAGGCTCCCCAGCAAAAGCGCTCCTTGCCGCTGAGAATCCTGATCCTGAAGACAATGCTCGAGGAACTTCACAACCGGACACTCAAGCTGCAATCGACAGACTCCTCGGATCCCTTGATCCAGACCTTGGTGAAGCTGCGCTTCCTTCAACTGGGAGAGGACCAGAAGGAGCCCTACCTGTTTCCCCGGATGAAATGACGGAAGCTCAAGTATCACTTTCCTTGGCACTGCATACCGTACAACGGATGTTGACTCTCCTGCAGAACGAGGCTCTGATCAAGAGATTTCATGCCCTCCGACCCAACCAGCAGATTCAGAAGCTCATCGGCACGGACTCCGAAAATCCTTCAGCGGTCATTCCTTGGAGAGTGACACTGGCCCTGACCCACACCTACTCGAACGAATTGAGAGGGCTCTGGCACCAACTAGCCAACACGGGCCTTTGGCAACTGATCCTGGCACGAATGCGCCCAGCAACGATGCAAAGGCCACCACTGGCGCAACACCTGGGCCGCATGCTGGACTCGCTCTGAGCCTCGAGGATCAAACACCTCCTTTGAAGACTTTGCTGAATCCATCCTCCGCCTGCTACATGAATGCAGCAGTTACTGGGCTTGTTTGGGGTGCATCCCAGGTCGATGGCCTGAGAGCGGACCTATGGTCCAACTTTCCTGGGGTGTTCAGCCAGATTGCTGAACCTTATGATGGGGACTCGATTTTGCTTTGGGCCAATGGCCAATGGACATCACTGTTGGCCGACTGGCCGGATCCCTTGAGGCAGCATGATGTTGTTGACTTCACTCACCAGATTCAACTGTTGAATCCTATGTTCTTCAGCTGTTGGTGGGAATCTCGGCTGGACCAGGACGGTCACACCAGGGTGGTCGATAAAAACGACAACAGCTGCCCTTTGCATCTGCGCGTGAGCCCGCAGGGTGACAGCAAAAAGCAGTCCGGATCCACTGACTTGCAAACTTTGCTTACAAGTTGGAGCATGGCAAGCTTTGGCCTTCAT